TAAGGCATTCCATACGTCACGGTAGTTTGGCTTCTGATGGGAGAGCTGCTTCGTTACCAGATAGAAGATACTTCTATTGCCTATCTGCTCATTATCCACAATTTCAAGCTCCTCTCCAACTTTGGGATTCTGCCTCCGTAGCTCATCAACCCGTCCAAACTTGTTTTTAAAGACAACCGCTATTCCTCTGGACATCCTAAGGTCTTCCGCAACACAGTGAGCTAAGGAGTAATGGGCCGTGAACAGATCTTTTTGTTCTTCTCGAGTGACACCATACCAAGCTTTTTTACCGCTCGAATATAAATACATGAAATCTTCAAAAGGCAACTCGTCTTCCGGCGGATTAACCCTCCTTACTCTAGCATCGTCTATTTGATCATTGTTTCCAGCGTAAGGAGCCAATCGGTTGAAATGGATCACTTTCGGCTTTCCTCTTGGTTGTTTCCTGATCCTGTAGATGATGTCATTTATTCGATCCATGACTTCGTATGGTCCCTCCCAAGAAGTCTGCAGCTTCGGTAAATAACCACGATGGCGCTGAGGGTTGTATAACCAAACTAGGTCTCCAGGTTGAAATCCTCCATTTTCCGCCTTGATGTCATATGCCTCTTTCATTCTATCACTGGCACTCTGGATGTTTAAACGAACTCGGCTATGAATGTCGCTCATTTTCCTACGTAAATTGCTGACATAATCTTCTCCAGCAATATCTTCCCCTGGTAGGCAACCAAACCTCAGGTCACAGGGTAGACGAAGTTCACGTCCCATAACAATGCTAGCGCGTGTCTGGCCGGTTGTATCGTGGATAGAAGAACGGTACGCCAATAGGAACAGATGGAGGAAGCGGTCCCAGTCTCTTTGGTGATCAGAGACTACCTTGGACAAGTACCGGTTTATCGTTCGATTCATTCGTTCTACCATCCCATCAGACTGCGGATGTAATGCAGTCGTCCTCGTCTTCCGAATGTTAAGAATCTTACAGACATTCTGGAACAGTATAGATTCAAAGTTCCTGCCTTGGTCTAAATGCATCTCCATTGGCACACCAAAACAACAAATCCACTCCTTAATAAGGGCATCGGCCACTGTGGCAGCTTCCTGGTTTGGCAAGGCGTACGCTTCCGCCCACTTGCTAAAGTAGTCCATTACAACGATGATGTATTTATTTCCAGATTCTGTTTCCGGAAATGGACCCGCCACGTCGATTGCCATCCTCTCAAATGGGCTGCCCACATTGTACTGTCGCATTGGGGCTTTTGGGCGCTTCTGGGGTCCATTGCTTGCCGCGCAAACGGCGCACTTCTTGCACCATTCCTTCACATCTCGTTGACTGTTGACCCAATAAAACCGTTCCCTAAGTTTTCCGAGCGTCCTGGTCACCCCAAGATGTCCTCCAGTAGTTCCATCATGGATTTCCTGCAGCACTTCTGGTATCCTGTTTCTGGGGATTATTATCTGCTTCCGGTCTTCCCTCCCTTCTGGCATCTCCAGAACGCGCTTTAGAAGCCCGTCACTTAAGATGATGGAATTCCATTGGGCCCAGTAGGATTTCACATTCGGCGAATATTGGGCGACTTCCTGCCACGTTGGTTTACGGTCGTTATTCTTCCAATCGATGATAAGTTTCAAATCCGGGTCCCTTTCTTGGTCTTGTTGAACCTCAGCGGATTGCCAATGATCATCCACGATTGTAGTCCTGCGAACAAACACATCCTTTTCTTCGGCCCTGAGACAATGTGTACAGTCTTCCGGGCACGGTCTTCTCGATAAGGCGTCAGCATTTCTATGGATGGTCCCAGCACGATGTTCTGTGTCAAAGTCGAACTCCTGTAGTCTTTCAATCCATCTTGCTACCTGTCCTTCAGGATTCTTAAATTGCAAAAGCCATTTAAGGGCAGCATGATCCGTTCTTAGCAAGAATTTTCTTCCATACAGGTACTTGTAAAAGTGTTCGACTGCTTTTACCACTGCCAACAGCTCGCGTCGAGTAACACAGTAATTTCGCTCTGGTTTCGATAGAGTTTTACTGAAGTATCCAATAACTTTCTCTTTTCCTTCTTGAATCTGCGACAAAACAGCTCCCAGGACTGGTGAGCTGGTCAACGCGTTTTTCAGGTTCTTAAAGGCTTCTTGGCATTCGTCGTCCCATTGGAATCGTCTTTCTCCCTCTGTTAAACGTGTCAAAGGCTTAGCAACCTTTGCGAATCCTGGTACGTACCGACGGTAGTAGGTACATAATCCAAGAAAGGGCACCTAAACTGGGAAGTAATTTTAAAGATGAATTTTATATTTCTTACGTCTTCTGTCACCTTATATGTGTTATCTGTCAATTGTAATCTGTCTACTGTCATTAGTCACTTGTCATCTGTCAACTTGACATCTGTCGCCTATCATCTGTCATTTGTCCCTGTCATATGCCACCTGTAATTTGCCACCTTATCGATTTGATTACGGGGATTTTAATTGGTTAACTTTTTTAAATACCCAAATTTAACGGGCTTCTGGCCCTCATCTTTTAGTATGTCAAACTTTGGTCTTTTACCCGCCGATTCGTGTATTTCGTTCGGCCAATTTCGAAAATTTCTTTCGTCCTAAAAAACGTTTGAAAATTTTTCAAAAAAAAAATAAAAAAAAAGCTGTTCGAAAAGTTTCCAGCGGATCCGGCCCGTTTGCATTATTTATTTTTTCCGTTGTATATCCTTTTTTTCTAAGCGCCGTATACCGTATAGCTATAGCTCGGAGGCCGTTTTTTCCGGTGTCGAAAAGTCCACTTCTTTTCGATTTTTCCGACAAATTTCGAACGAGCCCTGATTTTTCGGCCAAACTCGAGGAAAAGGTGCTTAGGGAGAAGAAGTTATCACCAACGGCATTCGATTTCTTCTTTCTATATGCGGAGCTCCTAAAAAAACTACCTGCTTTGATAAGTATCGAAATGCATGTTTCGTTAAAAATTCTAAAAGTAAAAAACAAGTTCAATTAGCTTGTCTTCCTCCAACCTCAGTTGCTGCTTATCAACATCTTTTTCGGGTATATTACCAAGTTCAAGTGTGGCTTGGTTATCAGCTAGACCCTACAGACTGGGGTTGGAAGTTGGTCAACAACACATTAGAACCAGGTCAAACTTTACTCCCACCTGCGCCGGAAAAACTGCTGAACACAATTTTTTGCAACTGCAAAAAGGGATGCAGTGCTAAATGTGGTTGCAAAAAAGTCGTACTGTTTTATTCTCTGGCATGTACGAATTGTCAAGACCGGTCGTGCTCTAATGTTGAATCACCAACAGTGAAGGATTCATTTAATTCCAAAGAGGTGACATGCGATACATCGCTATTAACGCAATTTACTTGTACCCAGGATGAAGATAAAGAAGAACAAGAAGAAGAATTTAAATGTTACGAATCAGACGAATAAACTTCAGTAGGTACTTTTTTTAAATGTATATCGCTATTATCTTTTCCAATCATTGGTAATTTCCGTTATTTTGCTAGTTTCAAATTAAACAGGATCACAACTGACCCGTGAAATAGGCCTACTGGGGAAACCACATTAAAAAACGCGCTAAGTAAACTACCTCATAGGTGGCGTGGAAACGTGTACATATTATGGCGATTATAACCAGTGTTGCCAGGTAAAAAAATTTCATGTCGCCACCAGAGGCGGCGAAAGTCGCCAAAATAAAGTAAAAGTCGCAAGTTTTTTTAAGTACATTTTTTTGTGAATTTTTACTTGTAAAATAAAAAAATAACTGAACATGTTCACGCATGATTTTTATTTAAATAACATCGTTTAGTTAACATTTACAATCAGCGTAAAATCTGCTTTATATTACATATTTACATATTCGACATCGACATAAAACATATGTTTTATGTCGATGAACCTATTTATATTATTCCGATCATAGCTTTGGTGAGTCAAGGAGAATTATTTTACCCTCCTTGGGGCTGACGCCGGTCTAGCGCCGAAAATCGCCCAAATGGCGACTTGTGATTTTTGTAAATTTATGGTCGCCAGAGCGAGTTAAAAATCGCCCAATTTGTGATAAATCGCCCAATCAACAAGCAATACTGATTATAACTTTTACAACTTTTCGAATCGTTATATCTCAGAAACGGTATACCGAGCTATAGCTCGTAGAAAAAAAGTATTAATACATTTTTTATAGATTATTTTATGATCTACAATTTTTGTCTGGTGTATTTTTATGATAAACTTACCGTTTTGCTGAATTTTTTTTGACCTTTGACCTTGAATAAAAATTTTCCATAATGATGGGGAACTTTAAAATTTTATTTATAATTATATTCTGAACAATTTTACTGATTTTCAGCTTGTTGTAAATGTATGTACCTTCGAATGTCTAGATTGACCGGACTATAAGATAATAAAATAATTTTCACATTTAGTATTATTTTACAAGAAAAGCACTTTATTTTAACGATTGTATGACATTTGACAACTGTCAACTAACTTAAAAATAACTTCAGCCCGTGACCAAAAACCTGTTGCTAACTTCAGCCCGTGACTAAAGCGCCATAAAGCCACAACTTGTCAATGTGTATTTAAAAGGTCACTTATAAGTGACTATAGTGTTATGTTCTGTGGTGTCATGGAAACATGTACGATAAAGGGCGTTTTAAAGGTGGGAGTAAACATATGTTTCCATGACACCACAGAACATAACACTATAGTCACTTATAAGTGACCTTTTAAATACACATTGACAAGTTGTGGCTTTATGGCGCTTTAGTCACGGGCTGAAGTTAGCAACAGGTTTTTGGTCACGGGCTGAAGTTATTTTTAAGTTAGTTGACAGTTGTATAGAAAAATATATTTATTGATTGATCTATTGTTTGCGATTTAAAACAATAAATTGTTGTTCAAATAAAACAGGTTTAATAATTATCTTAAGATATGAAACAAGAATGTATAAAAATGTCCCACTCTTTTAAAGTGTTTAAAGAGCCATTGACCCAGTTTATTCTGGTTTCGAACAATTACTTTATCTAATCTATGATTGTGATAACCTAACCTCAAATCGCAACACAATAAACAAGTTGTAATCGAGACGTTTAACAAATTAAATAAATCGTTCAAAACAAGTATTTTAGTGCGTGAAAAAAATGTCGGGCCAATTAATTCAGTTTGTGAACTGCAAAATATTGCGCGATCACAAGTTTATCCTTGATGATTTTTGGGTGCGAGATGGCAAAATTGTCGATCCAGAAAAAGTGTTTTTCGATGAAAAAATCAAAGCCGACAAACAAGTGGACTGCCATGGAAACTTAATCGTCCCCGGGTTCATTGATTTGCAAATAAATGGTAAACAAAACTATATATTTTGCTATTGTCTAACTGTATAATAGGTTGCATACATTCAGGCGCTCCCCTGGAACCTAATTTACACTAAACAAATACATAATTTATTGTTTTTAGGGGGGTTTGGGTACGATTTTTCAACCGGTGACACTAAAAAAGCGCTAGATGTAGTATCGAAAGGTATTTTGGCGCATGGTGTGACTTCGTTCTGTCCCACAGTGGTCACCTCTCCAATAGAGGTGTACCACAAGATTCTGCCTTTGATACGAAAAAAGAAAGGGGGAAAACATGGGGCGGCTATTTTAGGTTGTCATTGTGAGGGGCCGTTTATTAATGTCGCTAAAAATGGTGCTCACCCCCCTGAGTGCATTTTGGAGTATACTGATGTAATTTTTTGTATAATTATTATACATATTATTTTGAAAATCAATTTTAATAAAAATGTTTTAGGGTTTTAAATCCATAGAAGAGACCTATGGTGATATAGAAAATATTAATATTTGTACATTAGCCCCAGAGTTTAATAATTCAGAGGAAGTAATTAAGGAATTAAAGAAAAAAAATATTGTAGTATCTTTAGGTAATTTAGGTATATTCTATTATATTATTATAATATTATAATGTCATAATGCCATTTTACAAAAATGTAATTTTATTCTTTAGGTCATTCTAAAGCTAACCTTAAGGATGGTGAGGAAGCAGTCAAAAATGGGGCCACCTTAATAACACACTTATTTAATGCTATGTTGCCTGTAAGTTTAAATTATGTTTGTTACCAAATATTGCCGTTAAAAATACGTAAAGGCGTATCTTGTTTTTTTGTGCTAGGCAAAAATGTGTACCTACACTAAAATATATTGTGGTTATAAAATATATTGTAAACGTGTTAACCTTTATTATTTAATATATTAAATAATAAAGGTTAACACACAAATACGTCTTTGCGTATTTTCAACGGCGATAACGAATGTTCAAATTTATTTCAAAATCACTCATAATGAATTTATAGAATTCTATGACGTTTCAATAAGTAGGTACTTTATTATGTGATGAATTCATAAGATGCGCACACTACAAACGCACATTATATGGTCAATCTCATGGTACTAAGACAATTGTCTTAGTACCATGGGTCAATCTCAATTGTTAACTTGTTATTACGTGATAACCCTGCTGAAGAAGGCGGGTGATTTCGGGCGTAAATTCCGAATTAAATATGCGTCAAAACCGGGTGATTGCTGGTGAAAATCTTATCCGCCCATACCTGCTTTACTTTATCCGCGAACGCCTGGTTATACATATCTTTCGTCCGGTTAGTGAACCCCCGCAATAATCTGCAATCACCCGTGATCGCCGGTATTTAGTTTTAACTACTTTTACCCGGTTTCATCCGCAAACTTCGACTTTCGTCAGCGAACGTCTGCTTTCACCTGCGTACGTCTGTTTTCACCCGCAAACGTCCGATTTTGCCTGTATTCACCCGCAAACGTCTGGTTTCACCCGAAAACGTCTGCTTTTACCTGCGTACGTCTGTTTTTGCCCGTTTTTAACCGCAAACGTCTTCTTTCGTCCGATTTTATCCGAATGCCTGCATTTTGTTTGTATGTTTTGTTTCGGTTTCATACACTTTTATTATAGAGCGTCTTCAAGAAAAAATCATTTTATAATTAGGAAACAACTTTTATTAAATTAGGCCTTAAAAGCTTCCTTTCGTGAAATGAGGGTGTTAAAATTTTATTTTTTTTATATAGTAGTCCAGCAATCTTATTAAAATTTTAATTATAAAATAAATTTAAAAAGAAATTATATTGGTTTATCACTTGTTTGCTTTTTGCATAGTTATGTAAACATTTTAATATCCAATAAAAGTTACCCCCTGACACCATAAGGGAATTTTTACCATAATTGTAAGCAATAAAATCATGTTTTAAAAAAATAATGTATTAAAGAAAATTCATTTTTCCTGTGGCGGATTTTGGTTTGGGGGTATACTTTCTATAGGCACATAGACTATTATGTGCTAAGAAAATATCTTATCTTCCTGAAAAAAGTAATTTAGATAAAATTAATATCAATTGATTAATAGAATATACCTGGATAATGTTTTAAAGAAAATTTTCGAAAAAAAAATTGTATACCATTGCTTTTTGCATAGTTATTTAAACATTTTAATATCCAATAAAAGTTACCCCCTGACACCATAAGGGAATTTTTACCATAATTGTAAGCAATAAAAATAATGTATTAAAGAAAATTAATTTTTCCTACAAAAAAATATATTAGATAAAATTTCTTATTATAATTGAATGGTATACTTTCTATAGGCACATGAAAAAAGTAATTGAGATAAAATTAATATCTGTTGATTATATATATTATTATATATATATATATATATATATATATATATATATATATATATATATATATATTATATATATATATGTATATATACACATATAAACGGTCATTGTGCAGCCCATTCTATATACAAGCTATACTCTGTGTAGCCCGAAATGACTTTGTGTGGCCCACTCCCGGGCTGAACAACGTTTGACGTTATTTCAACGCTAATCGATTAATCACGGTGTTGGGAACCCCAGGTTAAATTTTTGGCAGGGCTTAACAACGACCGGTTAAGCCATAGTTACATACAAAATAGTTCATTGAATTTAACTGTAGGTGGCGCGCTGTAGTAAGTGTATCTAGAATAGGAATCCTAGATATCTTACGGTTCCTGTGTAGCCCTAAATCCGGCAACACTGCAAACACAAATTTTTCGTAGGAAGATATTATTTAATATCAAGCAGTGAGCAGAGTTTTAACGCTGCCACGCGCTGTAAGTTCGATACCGCGATTTAGTCAGAGATTTATTCGAATACTTTTAATTGTTTTTATTACTTAATGTATTATAGAATGTGCACAATGAGCTTTATTTTTTATTAAAAATTCTTTTTAAAAATATAAAAGGCCAAAAACATTAATTGTAAAAATTATTCAAAAGCTTTTACTGGTAGAACATACATACTTTATTAAGTTGTAATAAGCGGTTTAAATTTAATCACTTAATCAGACTTTATAACTTTTTTAGTTGAATGTTTTAAAAATAGAAATATTAAAATATTTGACTAAAATTGGGCATATTTTTAATTAGAAATAATCCATAAGGTACACACTCTAATAATCCAAAATTTGAAGATAATTTTTTTTTATTATGTTGTAATAAGTGGATCAAATTTCAACACAAAGACTTTATATGTTTTTTTATGAATTTAAAAAATTAGCTAAATATGTCTAATTTGAAATATTTTTCAAAAAACATTATTTTATTGTGTTTTATTTAATAAATATATCAAAAACATCTCAGAAGGGATATACTAAAAATTCAAAATTTTGCGATTTGTCCAAAATCGGGCTTTTTTAATCTGAAATATTTTCAGAAAACATTTTTTTCATTTTGTTGTAATAAGTAATTTAAATTTCAATGAAATTATTTCATCAGTAGCACTTTATTAGTTTTTCTATTTTCTTATATACAAAATATTAATAAAATATAATATTAACATAACTATTATAATAAAAGCTTTTTGTTTAAAGCCAGTATTATTATTTTTGAAAGACGCAGATTTTTGACAAGATTAATTAAAAATAATAAAAATTATTCCATCCTATCTTAATTAATTTTTATTTTATTTAATTTAATTAAATCATATCAATTTACGATTTTTAACTTTTATATTCCCACTTTAATGGGTGTGAAATTTCACGAGGGAATTTTAAAAAACAAAACAGCATAACATAATTAATTTGTGCTGCATAAATCTACTAAATAATTTTGTTTTACTCAATGTAGCCAATTATAAGTTAAGGGTCGCTAGAATTTGCCAACAAATACCCAAATTCCGAATAAAAAACATTTAATTGCACTAATTAAATAAATAAAATCTGACATCTGTCAAATGGTTAACCTAAGTTTTTATCAATTTTAAATGTTATTATAGTCGCCTTCTTCCAATTTAAACCCCGATTGGTTCAAATCACAGTGAATATTGAAATCGGCCAATAACTGATGCCTAACAACGTGAATAATGAGTTTATTATTTACGTTGTTAGGCAGGAAATTTAAAATGTTTAACAATATTCACGGAAAAAACCCGAAATTACTGTACATTTATTTAGTTGTACCTACTCTGCAGGAATAATGTCAAATTTTAATTGTATTAATTATTAAAAGTAGTTTTTTTATAATATCCTAATTTTTGATAAATTTTGTAAAATTTATTTGTTATTTGGTTATATTTGTAATGTGACAAACCTAAAAACACCACTTGATAAACAGGGTGTTTCACATGGTGGTCCATTGGAAATTTCTGGAGAACGGAAAAAATATAGATTTGAAATTTAATAGCCTTTATATTTAGTATATTTTTTAAATAATTTGAACAAAATGCAACTTCCGGTTTGACCGGAAGTGACATCAACTTTGTGATTTCAAATAGAACACCCCATATATTTTTACATTTTTAAATTCTACATAAAATTCTGAGTAAAATTACTATACCATGTCCTATACCTAAAGTGAATAGTTTTCTAGATGTTTGCTATTAGGTTTACAGATATGGGGTTAAAATTTTTTGTAAACTTAAAACATTATTTAAAAAATTTCATGTCAATTTTTTAACATTTTTTAACAAATTACCCGAGAAACCCCAGGGCAAATTGGGCTAACTTGAAACGTTAATAACTTTTTTATTTTAAACGTAACATTTGACATGGAATCTTTTAAACAATGTTTTAAGATTCCAAAAATTTCACCCCCATTTCTAAAAACCTAATAGCAAGAAAGTTATAGGCTATTTTTGATTGACGCGCATTTGTCATATTTTAACGGAAAAAATTAATAAATCCAAAACTACTTACAGTAATTTTACTCCAAATTTTATGTAGAATTTAAAAATGTAAAAATATTGGGGTGTTCCATTTAAAATAACATAGTTGATGTCACTTTCGGTCAAGCCGGAAGTGGCATTTTGTTTAAAATATTTTAGAAAAATAGGCCTAATTGGATAATAAACGCTTTACAAATTTCAAATCGATATCTTTTGCCGTTCCTCAGAAACTCTCAATGGGCCACGAACGTGAAACACGCATTACCGTATTTCGTAAATGTGCAACACCCTGTATATAATTAAAATAATTTTAAAATAAATAAATAATCTTAATGGTTGTCCATTTATTCAGTGAATAAATTTTTCATAAAAATATACTGTCCAGCTGTTATCGAATCTGTTATATTATGTGCCGAATACATTTTATTGGATCGCACTTAAAAAAAAAATGACGTGATCTGAAAAAACGCCGAGACACGGGTATCATTTTTTTAAGTCTATTATCAAAATCTATGTATCCAGATCAACATATTAATAAATTAGGGGTGAATATCAAACACAGCAAAGTTCAATATGAGTCCAGTTGAAATGATTAAGTAAAAATATCGTTCCTAATATTTTTTAAGGGAATATTTTAATACGGACTTTGCGGGGTGATACATTAGCCCCTACAATATTTATATTTATGTTTTTAAATATAAAAAAAATTAATAAATGTTTTATGTTTACTTTATCTATAGTGTTTACAAAAAGAATTTTGCTAAATCACAAAATTTTAAAAATGGTAAATTAACACTGGTCGACAAATTATAACTTTTTGTTTGCCTTTTGACCATAATTTTGTTCAATCAGATTTTGTTTAT